CAGCTGAAGCCCACCTCTAGGTGCGGGATTTTCTCGCTGTGTTAAAGACCCATTGGTGGCCTTGGGCTGTTTTCTGCTCTTTGGTCGGGTTGTTGTCTCTTTGACACATTCCCCGTTTCCATTCTCAATTTTATTTACTGTCACAAAAAATATAAAATCAATTTGTGACAAAATGTGTTGTAAAGAAGCACAAAATCCCCTTTTTGGGGCAGCAATAAACTCAGTAAATAGATATGAAAGTTTAGTTCTTAAATTCACCATTTTTGGGAAATAATGGAACACATGTCAGCTGGATCTTTTCTACAAAATATCATTTGATCCCAGTGTGTTTAAAGTTCACATTTTGACAAAATCCATCGATATATCTGCAAATAACAATAGCACAAAATCTAGCATCTCAAGTTGTATTGTCAAATTTCATGTCACTTCGTTTGTTCATTACTTGACATCTCTCATCACATTCTGGTAGTTGTAAACCAGGCAGTATTTAAAAAAATAATGCATACATTCATGTGGCATTGAAGAAAATTCCAATTCCAGATTATATACATCTCTGGTTTTCATATTTCATAGTATTTTCTAATATTTTTAATACAGCAATTTTAAAAAAAACTCTTAATGCTGACTTCTGAATATGCAAGTTTTGTCCACTGAGGATACATTGTAATTTGTACATTTGGCAGAGCTAAATGTGTAATTTGATATTTCATATATAAAAAATTATATAAATATATAAATATAAAACTTTATTCCAAAGTATTAAAAAGTATTCATTCTTACAAATCATATTAAAGTTGAAGTTGCTTTTAAGGATCACACTGACTATTTATTTTATATATAGATAGTGGACACAAGTAAATTTATTTACAACTTTTATAGAGCTTGCCATATTCTATAAACACCTGTCCCTTTTTGAAGTAAACCTCCGGATGTCTGTTGGAGATTTTTGTCATTGTCATTGGGTTGCTGTCTCATCTCTTTTATTCATACATATGAAAAGTTTTGTATTACATGAAGTAAGTGTTACTGAACCTAAATTTTTTAAAGCATGATTACATATTTATGTTTATAAGTTTAATAAATCTATTATGAAATTTTTACTCTATAATATATAGTAACAATGTTGCAATTTCAAATGATTAAACTAATGAAACATTGGCTGTAGTCACAATATAAAATTCAATAACGAAAATTACCATAAACGACGGCACAAATGTACATGTACATACATTTTCACCTGACCTCGACCCCATTTCATGGATCAGTGATCAATGAATTAGTGATTAGGTCCGTTTCTTCTAATAATGTAAGCAGTAGGTCAACTATGTTTAGTGTATGGAATGATTGTTAGGTGTACATGTCAGTCTGGGAGGTTTCATCTGACCTTGGCCTCATTTTCACATTTCATTGAGCAATGTTAAGTTTTTGTGTTTTGGTCTGCTTTTTGTCGAGCCTGCGAAATTTATTTCGCGAAAGCGAGACATAGCGATCATAGATTCTGACGTCGACTTCTTTGCCGGTGCGGCTTCAACATTTAGGTTTAGTCAGTGGTAAAACGTTTTGTTTTACATCAATAAATTTGTCAAACCTACATGGAATTAGATGAAATTTGGACAGAAGCTTGTTTATAACCAAAATACAGTATCCAGAGCAATATTTTGAAAATATTTATTTTGATTTTTCCGTATTTTTCTGATAAATGGACTTAGTTTTTTTTTACATTTAACAAAAGATACAGTCTGGGGTTAAAGTTTGTTACACATCAAATACTTTGTTAAGCCTTGAAGTTCGTAGAGTTTTATGAAACTTTTTTATGATTAAGAGATAATGTCTGAAGCACACTTTTGAAAATATATTTTCATTTTCAGTATTTTTCTGATAGATGGACTTCTTTACATTCAACATTTAACTGACAGCCTGGGATTATTTTTTTTTTACATGATAGTTTTGTTAACCTTCATGGATTGTTATGAAACTGGAACAGAAGCTTCTTTCAAGACCAGGAAATAGCATCTAAAGAGAAAGTTTGAATCTTTTTTAACATTCTGTATTTTACTGAAAAAAGGAATCACTTTTTATGTCAAAATTACACTTTTACACTGACATCAGCAATCGTAGGCGAGACACAGGGTTCCGTGGAACCCTTTACAAATTTTCTAATACTATAAGCAGTAGCTCAATTACATTTGTTTTATGGAATGTTTGTAAGGTGTACATGTTTGTCTGGCAGATATCATCTGTCCTTGAATTCATTTTCATTGTTCATGATTGGTCAATATCAAATTTTTATGGTTTGGTCTGTTTCTTGTTTTCTATAAACAATAGGTCAACTATATCTGGTGTATGTAATGATTATAGGATGTACATGTTTTTCTGTTTGTATATTTAAGCTTGACCTCATTTATATGGATCATTGATAATGTTTAGTGATGCTTGTAATAAAACTTAATCTTTAGGAGTATCAACATAAAATCAATCAAGGTTAATAATGCAGGCGAGACATTTCAGCGGGTGCACTCTTATTATTATCTCATTTTTATGAACTTCGGTATTTCTTATAAATGAAAATAACACTATTTAAATTTGGTATGTCCGAAGCGCTTTTCTGACCTGAAAAATTGTTTAAAAGATTAAAGAATGAAGAAATGAATGACCCCCATCCAGACCCTCTTATATTACCGTAATTCTATATATATATATGTACCTTTGATCTAGCAAGGACAAACACTCCAATCAGATCTAAAACCACTGTTGACTTCTTTTTACTATTTATTTTTATCATAACAATCTGGGACTAATACACATTGGTCTAATTTACAGTACATTTTTTATTTACACATTATACAGTTATTTTATATTCGATTAATATAATCTACTAAAATATTCCGTAACTCGGAGAGTTTATAATAGTTCATAAAGTATTCACTACATACTGGCTTTTATGGCTTCGTAAGAAACAAGTAAAGATTTGAATGTTAAAACGATATCCTTGATTATGACGTAATCACATGAATATCTGGATCTTCTGTCCGTAATCGGCATTTGGATAGACATGATATCACGTGATTGATATTTTTCTATGACAGCACCTGATTGGTCGATGGCCATATGAACATGACAGAGAACATCGTACAGTTTGTTTTCAATGTCAATTATATCCGTTGAAAAAGCGCCGTGGTCGTGATTTTTTTCATTGTTTTTAATCTGCTCCAGGAAAATTGCAGCTGTTGATAACTGTGTGTACGATTCCAAGAGTGTAACGGTTACCTGTAAAAGAATATAGATTATAAAAAACTGCAGTTTACACGACAAAGAGACTTACAATTAATATAAAAAGGAGACATTCTATATAATTGATAGCGTTTTGAAGACTGTTGTTAAACTTTTCGTCGTTTTTTGTTTGTTTGATATGAGTTCAATCTTTTTATACATACTACTCTTAATATAGAAATGAGAAATTTTACATACTTTAAAGGTATAGAAAAATAAAAACCAATTTTTATATTTAACAAATTACTGATAACTGTTGATAGGCAACATGATAGTTCGTGAAGCCTTTCAATTAAACATCTTCTGCCATTTATATACATAGATCTACACCCGAATGTGTTATACATCTTGTTTAAATTGAAAAATAAAAGTACAAATCTGTATTCGAATAATGAACTTTACAAATGGTATTTTTAAACTCAAAGTAAGAATTTGACAAAATATCGTTACTATTATCTAACTGAAATTAGAAGTCACAGTTTCAATTGCAAATTAAAACAAGGAAACAAAACTTACATTTTCAATAGCCAATGAAACGTTCTTTACTTGAACATCTTCAACTCGGAAACCATCCAAATGCACTGTATCTAACCGACTTCTAATGGCTTTAATGATGATTCTTTCATTTGCCTAGCAAGATAGAAGAAAAAAAACAACATTTTAATGCTTGTAATTTACAATCAATAGTATTCTAAGGAAAACACAAACGTGCTTGCATTTTTCAGAATTCAGATGAACTGTAAAAAAAGGTAACAACTCTTCAATCGCTGTCCCTATTTTAATGGTAACTGAAACGCCTTCCTTCAACTATGAGTTGCTGCTCATACCCCACAGCGAGACCAAGACGCCCCCTAATGCCAACATTACTGTAGAGCTCTTTGATATACATCGCTATAAGACATTGACCATATATCTTTTCTTTTTTTCTGTTGTTTTCGGGGAGGGAAGGGCTTGTTTTATTTTTAAACACTTTGCTTGAATATTTATGTCTTGAAGTGTGAATATTTAAAATTATTCACACTAGTCCTAAAGATGTTTCAAGCGCACTCACAAGCAAGCAGTATCAATCTGTCTACTATCATGTTTTGAGACATTTTGTGACAACTTATGTGTTGACTTTCTGTGCGTTTGTTAATGAGGGTCTGGATGGGGTTCACAGAATTAAGAATTGTGGACCAAGTGTACAGAAAAATGGAAAAAAATAAAGAATAGAGAAAAACAGGCCAACAAATAAATAAAAGATGATAATAGCGTGCTTAGATATAAAGAAAAGAGAATAATGGGGAAAATAAATAAAATTTGGAAAGAGATAATATAAATAATTAAAGAATAGAAAAATGATGACCACCTAATACAGACCCTTGTAAATGCTTTTTTTTTGTGTATTACAGTTAAATAGGAGGATTCAAATAAACACTGATCTTATAAAACCGTCATGGACTAAAATAGGAAAAATAAACAATAGTTATAATATGAGAAGGAAATCCTCAATAACATTAAGAAAATGAATTTAAAAAATCAATAACGTAGTGAATCCAAAATCTTAAGCTCTTTTTACAAAGTTTGAACTTTGACTTACCCTGTCATGTTTTAAAGCAATACAATTTCCAGCACATTTGTATAATATATGTTTACTAAAAAGTATCATACAAATAATGAGTATGACTACGTCTTTTTTAACGGGTAACATCTGACTCTTATTAAAGAAAATAACAGATAATACTACATACGTATTTATTTCTCAGATTGCTTGCTATGTCGTCTGCTTCACGAAGTCTGATGATCAGATCAGATATTATTTCAGACTGTGGAGGTAGAGGCGGACGTAACGTAGATGATCCACACGGATGTTTCCATCTTTCATTTCCTACTGGGAAACAATCGATTATAATTATCGAGGAAACAATAGCTGAAATATAAAAATAGAAACAATAGATGAAATATTAAGATTTATTATATACTTAGAATAGGAAATACAAGTAAAGTGTATGTGCAATCATAAGACAATCAATGACAATCGTTTTGTATCAGCCATCGATGATGGTATCGATATCGGTCATGCTAAATACACAGATTGTATCAATCCCCATAAGAAAAAAACTTCATCTGTTTTGAATATATACTAAAGGCTTAATAGGTATAATCTACCTGTATTTACCTGAGGAAACCTATTAAATAATGCGCGCAAATGTAATCCAAAGCTGCGCGCAAAGGTAATGGTAATGCGCGCAAATGCAATGCACCGATAATAAAGTTTAAATGTTATGACTTTTTTCAATATCATACACCGTATCAACCCTCAACCAAGATAATCCCTTAATAGAGTTGCTACTTCAATAAAGTCAAAGTTGTTGTATTGTTCGACGTCTGAAGCAAGACATGATATTTTTAAAACATGTTACAATAAATGACACGTTTTACTTTTCCGGGGAATTCCGAAGTCGTGTTATATTATGTAACCGTTTAACTGCATATGAATTATCATTTTTATTTTACTTTAAACAGGTAAATTCATCTGTTATTAAATTAGATACTAACGACTAAACAATATATTTTGTAATAAAAACATTTGTTGTTCTTTCCATGTTAGAAAAGATAGAATAGGACGATTCAAAATGTTGGACTAGCCAGAAAACATCCTTGGTCTTTTCCATAGCCTACATGTGGTCAATTATTTCATCGATGCCATCAAAAACACAAAGTTATGACTTTTTTCAATCTAAATTTAGAAATGTACTAAACTAGATGTAGCATCTATCCTCAGGAAAAATTGAAAATCTAAGTCCCCTCATTTCTATAGTCTTTAATTTTGCAGGGCGTTTTTCTGTATTCTTATTTTTTTTTTTAATTGCCTATTTTTCTCTTTTCTTTATATTTTATAAACCCTGAAATATTATTTTTTTGCTCACTATTCTCTCTTCTATAAACCCCATCCATACCCTGCTAATGATCGTCTTTTTATTTTTTAACCGTTTGGTCTCGATCTTACAGTCGGGTTCTTAAAGAACACGTGTGCACGAGAACCGGGTTTTTATGCTTTTTCAATAATAAATAAATAAATACATACCTAAAACCGTTAAAATGATCGACTGAAAGTACATTATTGTTTGCTTTTTATTGTTGTTTAATAACTTTATAAAGTAATTAAAAAAATAATAACAAACTTAAAATATATATACATACCTGAAAACTTTCACTGATAAAAAAAAGTAAAAGGGGCTTATTTGCAAAATAATGAGAAATTACTAAGAAAAAACTGACTATGAACTCGTTCCTGTTAAATAAATAATTAATATAGTAATCGACGGAAGATCATTTTGACGTCATTCTCAACAAATGAAATCTTAAAACAATAAAGGAAGAAATTTGTAATCGGACATCCTTTCGGAAATAAATTTTACTTCATCATTGAAGTCAACGTCCTAATCACAAAGTGTTTAATAGTTATGTTAATCTTACATAGTTAACATATCTACAAATACTTGAATGGGATTGGTACGTTAGAATTTTTTCCCTTGGTTTACAGTCCGATAAACCATGTTGCCGAAATTTCTTTTTTTACCTATGTGATTAGTCCACGCTCTTTGCCCGTTAAGAACCCTTGCACGAACTCTTTGAGGGCTCCGTAGGTGACCTGTTGCAAGGTTAAATTTCTGTCCCTGTCCAATATACTCTCATTTGTCCGTTGCAGACCAAATTTCCCTGACTTTCATCCCGGACGGCATCTATTACAGGACCTACATATTGTATTTATTGTTAATTTGTTCTCGTCCTGAATATGCATGAAATATTTGCCACTGGACGTTAAGCAACCAACAATCAATCAACCTATAATACATGTATAAGACTTCGTAGGTCCATATCGTTTGCTTTCAACGTTTTTTATCGGATATTTTTTTCTTCTAAATATCCGAAATAAAACGTTGAAAGCAAACGAAATGGACCTACGAAGTCTTATATTATAGAACTACCTAGTGTGTGATCTATTCATGCACGATACACGTTATGCATGGGACCCTGGGGTTCAAAGATGAATGAAAATTAAAAAAAAACTACAGAGTTGTGTATTGTAGAGAATGAAAATCAAATAATCTTTATGAGGGTCTGGATTGGGTTTACAGAATAGAGAATAATTGGCATAATCTACAGAAAAATGGACCAAAAAAATATAAAGAATAAAGAAAAATGACATACAAAAATAAAGAACACAGAAATGAAGGACCTTCATCCAGTTCGTACTTTATAGTTAACAAAGTTAATTCAGTCTTATTCAAACTAGCTCAGAGAAGAAAACGTTATACAGGTTATATTGATTCCTGCCACTGTCGCTCTTCGAGATGACTGGTTTTTAAATTTTCTCCCGGTCTGTAATATAGAACCAATTTCAACCAAACTTGGCCTGAATGATCCTTAGGGTATCTTATATCATGTGTGTGTGTTTTTGCCAACATACCAACATATATATTAGCCGCTATGCCGCGCTTGAAGATAATAATGGTTAAAAGCAAAGAATTGTCTAAACTAGGATAGATAGAGAAAATCTGACAATAGCAAAATGCTATAAATATTGACATCAAACTTATTGAAGAAACTTGAACTTTAGAACAGACTAAAAAGTTAAAACCCACTTAAAAAATGTTCTATGAACTATTATCAAACTCTTACTAATCATAAAATAAACAACCTGAATGAAAATGATAAAATATATCTATATAAATTTCTTAAATCTAATATAAATAACCAGATGGAATACTACCTATCTCATCCAAACAAAGAAACAAGAAAAAATGTCAACCAAATTTAGAATAAGCAATCATTGTCTTTTAATAGAAACTGGAAGATATACTAAAATATCAAGAAATGAAAGAACATGTAAAATTTATAACATCTTAGATGATGAATTCCATTTTTTCTTTGACTGTTAAATTAATAAAAAAATAATAATAGAGAAACCTTTTTAAAATATTATATCGAAAAATATTATACAGACTTTAAGTTAACTTAACCGATAAACTTGCGATTATACTAAATCCGTCAACACCTAATGATATAAAAGCAGTCGTTTCTTTTATTAAAGAGTCATTAGAACCGAGGAAACTTTAAGGAGACCAATAACTGTTTTTGTAAACTTTATAATTCATGAGATATTGTAGATCATACATTCGTATTAAATCTGACTATTTGTTATATTATTAATGTTTATAATATCTCTGTACCATGGATCTTGGTTTATAAGAATAAAGATATATTATTAGTTACATGGTGTGTTAGTGACTTAATACGATCTATATGGGGTCATTAAATTCCATATGGGGTGAGAGCAAAGCTCGAATCCCTTTATGGAATTTACTGACCCCATATATATCGTATTAGGTCACTAACACACCATGTAACTAATAATATATCTTTATTCTTATAAACCAAGATCCATGGTGATTAAGTCTTCAATACTTAGTATTAAGAACCTGCTTCCATTTGTCTATAAAAAACAAATGCCAACAATAACAACTTGTTAGCTTTAAATTTGTTTTATGAATTTATTTCAATCGTTCATTATCAATTTTTTCGTCTGTTGAAACCTTTCAGATTTCTTTTTTATTTTGACAGGGAAGTAACTTCTTACTAACCCCATATGGTAACTAACCCCATATTTTTAGGACACCCTATATCAAATATATGTAGTCACCACGTGTAGTCTTACCAATCATATCCCCAGAAATCTGTAGGAGGTAAGATAAATAGTCTTATTTGGACACATCTCCTTATTTTTATATACAAATAATTTGGTGTAAATAAATTCAGAATTCTGGCTCAATTGATACCTTTAAAAAATCAAATTTTGCGGAAATGATATATCTCAAAAATAACAAGTGTAATTGATTTTTATATTGTTGATAGACCAGAAAAGATCTTTAAAATCGCTATAGCTGCACATTATTTCGATTTTATGTTTATGATTTTCTAATTCAAGGATATGTTTATAAATATTATCAAAAATATTATAAAAATTCCCTTTTCTGTCGTTTGAATTCTAAATTCAATTTGAGAACAAAATCCGCAAAATTTTTGTAAAATTTGAAATATTTCTTATATCTATGTATTTCTCTTTTATAATAATTGTTTGTTTTTTTTTATCCTTGATACTTCTAAATTTTTCAATTATATATTTGTTCAATTTACAATTCATGTTTAATATATAAATAACACATAGCTGAGAGGGTGATAGAGCAGATTGTTACTCCTTGAAAAGACATTGTCAACCTTGGCTTCGCCTCAGTTGACAATGTTTTCTCGGGGTAACAATCTGCTCTATCACCCTCTCAGCTATGTGTTATTTAATTTATTATACTGAATGTTCTGTTATAACTATCTATTAAATTTCTAATTCAAAGTAATAAACTGTGACGTTGTACATAACAGTCATAACTATTTAAAAAAGCGCACAAATGAGCAAGCGTCTCCGTGAAGGGTAATAGAGTATTTGCCATGGGATAGAGTAAATTGTCTCCCTCGTATTAACCAATCAGAATCCCGCATTTTGACATGAAGTATAATATTTATAGAATAACTAATCGAAGAATTCAAATAGAGAAAAATATTCAACGAGTGACCGAACAACACATTAATTCACGAATGCGCGTAGCGCATGAGTTAATTATCAGTGTTGTTCGGTCACGAGTTGAATATTTTTCGATATTTGAATTCTTTTATTAGTTATTCTTTTTATTACATTGGCAAAGAGCTTTTTTAAATAAAATTAATGTAGAAAATGTAAGGAACTATATCTTTTTTCTACGCATTCACAATTTGTTTTGATCCGACGTTATCGACGTCTTGACAACGCCT